CATTGGCTATATGGTTTCCAAAATTGTTTTCACAATCACTTTTTTTTATAAAGTCCTTAGATAAACAACTGTATTTATTTATTTATTTATTAGCATGTAGCAGCATCCTTTATTCTGAAAAGTAACAGAGAAACTAGATGGAGCAAAACAGTCAGAACAATGGCCAGAGAAAAGAGGGAGAAGGACAAGTTTGATGAACATGTCCAGGACCATGGCTCCTTTGGTATTTTTGTTGTTGGGACCATGGGTTATTTCATAAAGGCATCTGGGACCTTGATCACAGGTTCTGACAGCACTCTAGCTTCATCAGGCTGGTGGAGAATGATTGTACCATATCCCGCTGTTCTTTGGAAATGGAGGGTAAGGAGTAGTAGGAGAGTATACACACTGAAAGGGAGAGGCACTATGGGTCTCTGTTTGGCTGGCATCTCTCAGAGACAGCTGATCATTCACAATGTAAAGGCTGGAATTGTTGTCAGAGCTCAAAATGAAGATCCAGATGAAGGCATAAACACAAAGATGAACACATTCCTTCCACTTCCTTGAACAGCCTGTTGACAGAAAAGTAGAGCATCTTGAGGGTAGGGCTTGATGGCGGATAGGGTAGAGGTGCAGTGAAGACACAAATAACATGCATGTCACAATGGAACCAAAGGAAATAAAAAGGATAATAACAGAATACTATGAAAAGGTGTACTCCAACAAATTTGAAAACTTAGAAGAGATGGACACATTTTAGAAAAACATGACCTACCTAAACTTACACAGAGTAAATTAGAAAACCTGAACAGATCCATAACTAAAGAAGAAATTGATCAGGTCATCAAAAACTCCCAACCAAAAGAACTCCAGGCACAGATGGCTTCACTGGTGAGTTCTACCAAACATTCAGGGAAGAGCTGTCACCAATTCTACTCAAATTATTCCAAAATATAGAGGAGGATGGAAAACTTACTAATACATTTTATGAAGCAAGCATAACCCTCATAGGAACTGAAGGGAAATTCCTTAACATAATTAAGAGCATATATAAAAAACCAACAGCCTACATTACTCTCAATGGAGAGAAACTGAAAGCCTTCCCTCTGTGATCAGGAACCAGAGAAAGATGCCCTTTGTCACCAATCCTATTCAGTATTGTGCTGGAAGTTTTAGTAAGAGCTGTGCGGCAAGACAGGGAAATTAAAGGCATCCACATTGGCAAAGAGGAAGTAAAACTCTCTCTATTTGCAGATGATATGATCCTATTCATAGAAAACCCCAAAGACTCAGTAAAAAAGCTACTAAAACTCATTGCAAGATTCAGCAAAGTGGCAGGATATAAGATCAAACTACAAATATCAGTTGGATTTCTCTATACCAACAACAACAGCACTGAAAAGTACATTAGGATAGCAATACCATTTACAATAGCCACCCAAAGAATGAAATATCTAAGAACAAATTTGACCAGAGAAACAAAGGACCTATACAAAGAAAACTCCAAAACACTACTACAAGAAACCAAAAGAGACCTACAAAAATGGAAGAATGCACCATGCTGCTGGATAGGAAGACTTAACATTGTGAAAATATCAATACTGCCCAAAGCAATTTATGCATACAATGCAATCCCAATCCAGATTCCAATGACATTCTTCAAAGACAATGAGAAAACAAAACAAAACAAAACAAAAAAACCAACAATCACAAATTTGTATGGAAAGGGAAGAGACTCAGGATAAGCAAAGCACTGCTTAAGAAGAAACAATAAGATTGGAAACCTTTCACTTCCCGACTTCAAAATGTATTACACAGCTACAGTGGTTGAAACAGCCTGGTACTGGTACAATGAAAGATGCATTGATCAATGGAACAGAATCGAGAATCCAGAAATTAACCCATCCACACACAGCCAACTGATTTTTGACAAAGTACCTAAATATATCACATGGAGAGGGGATAGTTTCTCCAACAGACAGTGCTGGCAGAACTGGAAAGTGATATGCAAAAGATTGAAACAAGACCTTTACCTCACACCTCATACAAAAACCAACTCAGAATGGATTGAAGACATAAATGTGAATACCAAATTTATGAAGATCATCAATGAAAAAATAGGAATAAAAGTGAGAGCCTAATTCAGGGAATGCACAGACTACCAATCATTTTGAAAATTACACAAACAAAAGTAGACAAAATAGATGATTGGGACATACTAAACATTAAAAACTTATGTGCATCAAAAGACTTCACCAAAAGAGTAAAAAGAGAACCCACAGAATGGGAAAAAAAATCTTTTGCAACAATATATCAGACAATGGACTCATTTCTAAAATATATAGGAAACTATAACACCTCTACAAAAAAAGACAAATAACCCAATTAAAAAATGGGAATAGGACTTGAACAGACACTTCACTAAGGAGGAGATCCAGGGAGCCAACAAACATATGAAGAACTGTTCATGATCCCTAGCCATTAGAGAGATGCAAATCAAAAATAAATAAATAAATAAAAATGAGATATCATCTCACACCAGAAATAGCAGCAAAGATTAAAAAAAAAAAATAGATGACAATAAATGCTGGCAAGGATGTGGAGAGAATGGGATGGTTCTACATTGCTGGTGGGATTGAAAAATGATTCAGTCTCTCTAGAAAGCAATATGGTGTGCTTCCTCAGAAGGTAGGAAATAGATACACATTATGATCTAGAAATCCCTCTACTTGGTATTTACCCACCAGAAATATGAGCCATAACATAGGTGGATACATGCACACCAATGTTCATAGCAGCACTATTTACAATAGCAAAAATATGGAGACAGCCTAAGTGCCCATCAATTGAAAAATGGATAAGCAAACTGTAGTACATAAACATACTGGAATATTATGCTATCTTGAAGAACAACAAGAAAACTGCAAGCCACCACATAACATGGATGAACCTTGAGGACATTATGTTGAGTGAAATTAGTCAGTCACAAAAAGAGAAATACTGTATAGGACCACTACTGTAAAATATTCAGAAAAAGAACCCATACTAAAGGAGGGTGGGGGTGGTTCTTTGCTGATTACCGGAATGTGGAGTATGGGGTGAGGGGAGGGAGGGAAGGTGAAGCACAGGGTAGGGAATAGACACAGGGTAGCTTGGGTGCTAGGGAAGGGGGCAATACACAAGAAGAGGGAGAGCAATGAAAAAACAAGGCAGATGGGAAAACAGTTAGGCAGGTTTTTATGGGATAAGTGAGACAGAGGTAAATAATGATGTATGCACAACCTTGGAACAACAGGACTTTGGGATACAGGGATTGAGACATGGTAGGAAAAGGGAAAAGAGGGGAAATAATGTTAAGATGCTTGGCTGTCTTTTGAATCTTGATTTCCCTGGCATACCATTTTTT